CCTCAAGAAGACCGCTGTACATTGTACCCCCACATTAACGACTGTACCCCCACATTAACCAAACTCACGACATGGGGGTGTAAACGCTACTCTGACCCCTACCACTCACTACCAGCGACTCCATAGCAACAGCTGACGTGCACAGTATCAGACGATGTTTCACTGCATGGCATCTACAGTTTGTTACTTAGTTCGTCTGCTAGGGCTGTTAACTCGCGTAAGATGACAACAAGAGCAGTTTACGATCGCGCATACGTATGATAATAGTTAATACGAAGATGTGTAGGCATCTCCCGGGTATGAATTTACCTGTGGTCCTTCAGCCATCGTCACGGTAAAGGGTGATGAAAGGCAAACAAGCGGTACAACCACAGAATCAGAATCAGCAGCAGCACCAACAAACACTACAACGCCTGTAACGCGCTCACGCCTCTGTCGGCAGAACACCAACGTCGCCTATCATGTATGTACGCGGTGCCCGTATCGATCAGTGGTCGATACTGGACGGTGCTGCCACCATGCGTTCATTCATCGTGGGGGACGAGATCATAGCAGGAGTGTCATCAGTCTAATATAATACAGTAGTCTAGAATAAAAATCTATTATTCACTCTAATGATATAGATGTTATATAATGTCTTTATTATGACACTTAGAACTGATCATAGATATATTGATTGTATATATGACAACTATGCTGGACGTGATATGGTTGTAGCCTATACTATAGGTATGGAGCTTATGTGTGATGTTACAGTGATGTTACCAGGGGATAATAATGACAATTTGTCATTATTAATACCTCATGTTACGGAACTCTGATGGGTTAATTATAAAATTTATATCAGGAGTGTCATAAAATAGGCATTACATGACAAAATATATATATTATTATACTACTTATTATATCATATATCATACATATATCATATACACGTACACATTCATATATTTACTTAAAGGTGTATATCTATTTTTTCGTATATTTAATTATTCTTTTATGAAGTGCAATCTTGTCTTGTCACACTGTCTTGCTTTCCTTTCACGCATGTCGTACAGACAGAAAACGCCAAGAGAAACGTGATATCAATAGCTTAATATATTTTATAAGAAAATCATATTCACAAGAATAATACAGATAGATTGGAATAATATAATATACATACATAGATATGATACATTGTCAGAAATAAGATCCGAGTATAAAGTCAGTGATCGCACGCACGCACCGTGTAATATCGGTATATTATCACGAACTCTTCATATACTCTTGATAATATATATATATATACAGACATGCTAACGGCGGCCTGCACGAGAAGACAACACTGCGGCACTCTGCCCGTAAGGCATCATATCTCCCATCTAGAAAGGAGGATATGTACGGGGGCGAGGTAACTAACATCAGGGGTTCCCCGCGCGTGGAACCAACGTGGAATGAAGATGTACACCCGTGAACGCACGCACATCTTACAGAAACATTGTTACACTGTGTTGAATCGCCAATACAACATTTCGCATTCGCTCACCAACCGACCCCCGTGCGCGCGTCCCCCCCCCCCCTTGCCCGGGCGCTAGCGTCATCTTCCTACCTGGTAGAGGTCCTCGGCATCCTTCCGCGCCGCCGCGGGGTCAACCTCGTTCGTCTGGTCGCGTCCGCCGGCCAGCATGGACACGAGCAGGCGCTTCAGCTGACCGCTCGTCTCCGACGTGACGTCCGCCTCGAGGTCCTTGTCGTACGCCTGCTTGTAGCCGTTCTTAATCATCTCAATCTCCTGCATGATCGACGTAACGATTATGTTATGTCACGCGATTATTGTGGTATAATATATTATATATTATATGATATAATATATTATCAGGAGTCTATCAATTTGTTGAATCAAATTGTTATATATATTAAGAGCTAATAATACTATACTATGAGGTATTATTAGAGGTATTAGCTCTTGATATATATATATACATTTATATAATTCAGGTATTAATATGGTATTAATGGTATTCTACGCAGTGATGAATGCATTCGAGGGTTCTTGGTTGATTGAACATCTAATCTCGTATTGCACGTGTGTTAATAATACAGGTTCCTGCCATCTATATTGAATATACATCGCTTTCTGCGCGCGAAATGCTGCATGCAAATACATGCGTGTTCACAGCATACCTTACCTCCTGATTTCGGGTGCATAAAACTTCCACTAGTACCTTCTCCACAGTACCAATGCCCTTGAAAAAGTAGGAATTTAATTAAATAACATTCACGTGATTACGTTTCTCGTGCTGAATGCAATTGGACGCCCATTATACACACTTCTGCCCTTCTATAAGATTACTAGAAACTCTACTCAATACTATTGGCAACAAATAATTTATCTGTGTTATATTAGACACTTACATCCATGGCTCTTTTTAGATGCTTGACATCAAACATTCGTGGAGGGATCAGCAGCGAGAGGCAAACATTCTCAAAATGGCCACCAAGCTCAGATGAAAGGTCATCTTGGAGATCCTGCAAATTCCATAACATTGGACAACAAAAATGTGTCACTAAATCCACTCCACATCGGTAATTATGGATTGCAGTCTGCGACCACATGCATGCAAATATTATACCAGTCATTGGCATCCATTTTTAAATCAGCTATCTATTAACTTTGACCTAGCAAAGTAATTTAGGTGATATAATAAGTGATCTTCTATATTCCGACAACACTGTAAAATTGGACGAGAATTACAAATTGTTGAGAAAACGAATCGGCTCATTAAATAATAAGAGTATTTGAGCGATTGGTAAGCTATCTCACCTTTCCGTACATGGTCTTGTAGTGAGTTTTGATCTCCTGCCGCTGATCGTTGTTGTGACTCACCAGCACCTCAATGATCACCTTCTCATCCGTCCCTGCACACAGAAACAAACAACGTGTATAAACAGCACCGCAGCTAGCGGAGGCTGTAAGATATTGAGATCTAGACAGGCATAATGTATTGGCCTGTACCCCGATGTTATGTTGTTTTGATACAGCACCACCTATCATAACAAACCCTCTTTCAATATGGCTAAACCTGCTGCTAAGACGTAATATGTTTTGGTCTCCAGATGTATCCGTCCCATTCTAGCCTACAAATCAACCCACAGACATCACAGGAGGCCAAGGAGCAGTTGCCCCCCCTCCCCCAACCCCAGGAAAATGCAGATCTGCATTACAATGTCAATGGCGATCACCTTCCCAGAATATACCACGCACGTGTCTTTGCCTCCCTGGGCAAAATGGGTTAGTTATGCTCCTGATAAAGATAGCGAGAATGAGAGAGGGAGGAGAGGCGATTAAGATTAAAGAAGCCCTTCATGATGGCTTCACTTCGTGGAGTCACTCACCGAGGCCCTTCATCGCTTTCTTCAGCATCTTGGCAGCAAGCTCGATGTCAAAGTTGACATTGGCCGAAATTGTTCCCTGTAAAAAACATAAATCGGATCACTGCCAATGCCATCATGACTGTGTGTGTGTTGGGGGGGAGGCATGTGGTATGTGTGTGTGTGTGTGTGTGTGTCCGGCACTCTTGGGCCCGTAATGGCATCATATCTCCTCTAGAAAGGAGGATATGTACGGGGGCGAGGTAACTAACATCAGGGTTCCCGCGCGTGGAACCAACGTGGAATTGAAGGTGTAACACCGCGTGAACGCACGCACATCTACGCATACGCGCACGTCGTAATTCACGCATACGAGCTTTGCGTGTGTGGTTCATGTATACCGTACGTATGTATTGCATATGAAGATGTGCATGTGTTCACGTATCACCGTACGTATGTATGCATATGAGATGTGCATGTGTTCACGTATACACGTACGTATGTATGCATATGAGATGTGCATGTGTTCACGTATACACGTACGTATGTATGCATATGAGATGTGCGTGTGTTGACGTATACACGTACGTATGTATGCATATGAGATGTGCATGTGTTTCATGTATACACGTACGTATGTAATGCATATGAGATGTGCGTGTGTTCACGTATACATACACACAAGTACAGAGAGCCTCCGAGAGCACCGACGGCACCAA